TTATTATTATTATTATTATCTAATGCAACAGAAAAAGTCCGGACCGCCACCCTGTGAAGACACATGTTAATGTCTCAGGTCAGAGCTTGTGGACTGTTTCCATGTCACTTTGCCTGAGGTAAGTAAAGACACCACAAAAGACAGTGTACGTTTTCCTTTGTTTTGGTTTGTTTAGCTCTAGTAAGAGTTTCACGGCACTTGCAACGCAATAAGGTCATATATAAGTGCCGAAGTTTAGAGGTGTTACAAGAGAGTAACAAACAGAAAAAAAGAAGGAGGGGAGATAAAGACGATAGGTGTTTGATAGGAAAGAAGAAGCAAACCACACCAGAGCACCAGCCAACCACCCACTTCGTTTTGTTATCACAGAGCTATATGTCTCAATTTTTCATTCAAAAAGTGGAAAACACATTTCTGCAAAGATACACTCAATTTTAAGAAGCAGAAATTACAGGCTTCTTCACAGAAACTCATTTTAAGAAATGAAAAGTACATAATATTTCTACAAATAAACTCTTACTTACTTAAGAAGTGGAAAATACAAGTCTTTTCACAGAAAATCAGTTACAGAAGTGGTAAGTCCCGATTCAGTCCCCAAAGATGGTCCTCACATGTGTCTATAAATATAAATTCTATACAAGCATACTCGAGTTCATTGGCAGAGCACGATATGTGACACAGCGTGGTGAAATCAGACGCTCGTCAAAATAATGAAATGGAAGAAAAAGGCGTTATTCCACCACTTTGGCCATTTTTATCCAAATTCCGTTTTTTGGCCAAACACCTTTTATGTTCATTTGAAAAAACATCTCCAAGTGAATTTTATTGAAAAACCTTGTTTAACAAGGCACAAAATGTGTAATTTTCAGTGTTCAAAGACTCTTAAGCTTTTGAATTTACCAAACTTTGGCGGACATTTTCTCATTAATTTAACTACTGAAACAAAGCTAACCCACCTTTTTCAATCGCAAATATCTCGACTTCTTTTCAAGCTAGATGGACATTTTTTTCATTGAAAGCAGGGCAAATGAATAAGCTTTCAGGAGATACTAATAACTCCACATGACCAAACATTGACGAGTGCCTGATTCCACCACGATATGACACATATTATAATGAATCTTTACACAGGCCAGTCGGCCATACAACACATTGTACACTTCGTCAAATGCAGGTCAACATCGTATTTATGTCAAAATACAAGGTATTCAGGAGAAGCAAAGAAAAAAAAAGCTTTATTTTGACCAGGACTCGATCTCAGTACAAAATGTTTAATTCGTCTTAATTCTTAACTATTTCCATTAAAAAAACAACAGGAATGGCAGCAGAACCAATAGATGCTCCTCAGGAAATTCTACAACACACTTGATTTTCATAATTCATTTTTTTTTGGGGGGGTGGGGTTTGACACACTACAATGTTGATTGCCGAAGACGACAAGTACGTATCAGTGTCACTGGAATGTTGGAGGAGAAATGTCTCGGGCTAATGCTGTTTTACTGCCCAGTTGGAAATTATTGTTGTTGTTGTTGTTGTTGCTGCTGTTGTATGTCTTTGTCACTCTTGCAGTTGTCTCTTTCTCTGCTGGTGCAATTGTTGCTGTTGTTTTAATAGCTACTGGTGTTATTGTTGTTGTTGTTGTTTTAATACCTACTGGCGTTATTCTTATTGTTTATATAACTACTGCTGTCATTTTTGTTGTTCTGGTCACTACTACTGCTGCTGCTGCTGTCGTTCGCTACTGTTGTTGGAGCTCTCATAATTGTTGCGGTTGTAGTTGTGGTCACTATGGAATGTACACGACCACCACCAGCACTTGGGTCTGCTAGTGGGCATGGTCAGAGTGTGAGACAGAGGACAGTCCTGGGACGTCCCACCCAGAAAGCTGTGATGGTTGATGGTGAGGGGTGATTGATGAGAGAGAGAGCAGAGACTGCCCAGCCGACGGGGGTGGTGAAGTGACTAGAGCATGGGGTTGTAGACGTTGGAGTCGCAGCTACGCCTCTGGGTGAACAGGACCCCGCTGCGAGACTGAAGGAAGTACGCCAGGCACAAGGAGAGGATGAAGACCGTCACTCCGACCATCAGAGTGGACACCTGTAGGGGGCACGGGGAGGGATTTGTAGGAGATGGGACGGGAGGGGAATGGTGGAGGATTGGGAGGGGGGGAGGAGTAGGGATGTGGGGACAGGAAGGGAAATGAGGTTGGACGGGGGTGTGGGGGAGGGGGGAAGAATTGTTGAAGAGGGTAGGGAGGAATTGTTATTTA